GGCAATCCTGGTCAGCTTTGTTGAGTCTGGGTGAACCTTGCGTGTGCACGTGCAGTGCAGCATGCCACCAATGTGTACGCTGCATTCATGTTTACATACTCGGCTGCTCGTATGCGTGCATCACTGCACGCAAGCACGGAGACACACACGCACACACACACACTCTTACACGCACACACACGCACACCACGCCCCACACCCCACCCATCAACACCAGGCCATCCTTCAAAGACATCATGGGCGAGATCCAGCGCTTCCGATCGCGCCTCTCCGATCCCGCGCCCCGCCCCTCCATCCCGCACCCCCCCATTCGCCCCGCCCCCGCGCCCGCCGTCACGGGCGCCACGGACGGCCGGTCCACGACGGCCGACGGCGCCGGCGACGCCGGATGCGGGACGCTCACGCTCATCGGCGGGGCTGCCGCGACGGAGAGCGCCCTGAGCGCGAGCGGCGGCTGCGACGCCTATGGCTATGGCCACGGCTGCTTTGCTGGAGAGTACGGGTCACTCGTGGACAGCGGAGGCCCGGGGCCGCTGGCGCCGCTGCCGGCGCCGCCCGGCGGGGCTGCGGCGGGGTCCTTGCGCAGCCGCAGCTTCTCGGCGCCCTGGGGGCTGCCCGTCATCCATGACGGGGGTGACCTAGAGGGCGATCCGGACGCGGCAGCTGCCGCGCAGCTGCCGCCGGCTGGCGGGGCGGCAGGCGAGGGGGTAGGGAAGGGGGCGGCCGCGGCGCTCACGCGGCCGCGATAGGGGTAGGGGCGGGGACAGCCGTCAGGGCGTGTTGCACCTGGCTAGGTGTCGGTTTTGCCAGGGCCTTCGCCTGGCTGCTGCGGACGTGTTCAACCCCTGCGCGGCAACGCCAAACACAGTTGGCGAGCGCACCTGGGCGAGAGGCGAATGAGCGGCCCGCCCAGCCTTCCTGCGCAGACGCTCGCTTCTGGCTCGGCACGCAAATGCCTTGGCTGCTGCACTTCTCTTGCGCCCCCGCGGTGGGCGCCGGCTGCGTGAGATGCGCCTGCAGCCATCTCGGCAGCTCCGCCTGCGCGCTTGCCACTTCACGCTTGCGACTTGTGACCTCATCAAATCGTATGCTTCCACGCACATGCGTGCGCGTGTGACGGGCGATGTTCCATTCATTTTGACGCGGTCGCGTCGTCTCCGCGGCGGCGAGGGCGGGTGCACGGCTGTCTGGCGCACGCCGTGTGCAGCCGCAAACCTGAACTTTTGCATAGCGCACCTTAATGCGCAGCGCCGCGCCTCAAAGCTGCCGGCCTGGCGCCGGCCCCTGCTTTTGCAACGGCTGGGAAGAGGTTTTGGGTTGGGGGCGGGGTCAACCGCCAGACGGGGCCATCAGTGCAATCGCAAAGTGCAATATCTAGGCCTCCCGCAAACCAGCACGGTCACTTGAGCTTGCTTTGGGCTTTGCCATGTGCCGCCCCCCTTTGTTGCGCTTTCCCCCTTGAAGTTGTCTCTTGTGCTGATTCTGTCTCTGCTCTGTAGACACACACGCGGAGGCGATTGTGTGTCGCAGGCACGCCTCACCTGCTCCGCACCCTGCTCCAGCAGACAGTGCGAGAGCACCCTGGCACGCACGTGCTCATCTGCCCCCGTACTCACACCAGCAAGCACTTGATTACCCAAAAGCAAGCTGCACTGGGCCCTGCGCTGTCTTTGTGTGCGATAGCCGCTGTGTACAGCCGCCCCATCACCCAAGCTTTGGCACTTATGGCCTCAACGCTTGGACCCATGGCGGCCCTTTACAGAATTCCCACCACACCACAATTGCTTGGGCCCTTCATTAGACCTATTGCTGCCCTAAACCCTCCGTTGCACATGCTCGATCCAATGCAGCCCGGCCCTGCACACTTTCCGCACGGGTGAACCGAGCAAAACTGTTGTGACTGTGCGCCGGCCGGCCATCCAGTCGCTGGCGGCTGCCTTGCGATGCGTCATGCAGGCTTGGTGCGCCGCACCTACCCGTGCTCTGACGATGTGGCAGCTTGGACTGCAGCTGCACGCCGCGGCCTGCCTTATTCCCTGCAGTCTTGGCCGCGTGCTGGTGGCGTCAAAAAACTTATCGCGGCCCGCAAAACAGGTAATCAGATGCTACGTGAAGCACTTGCCGGGAGTGGGGCAGGTGACAAATGTGCGGCCCCTTGGGTCCTACTCTACGCTTTCGGCGACCGCACGAGCCTGCGAGCAAACGCTGGGGCGAGGAATGGTAGGTGCTATGCAAGGAGCGGGGTACGTGAGCGCTTTTGGTGTGTGCCAGCCCCACCCCATGTACCAAGCAGCGGCCTCCCTGCGCCAAGAAGGGAGGCAGGTGGCCAACGAAGGGTTGTCATCGCCAAGACCCGCCTGCCTGCAAGCTCCAGTGGGCGGCGTCTGTGCAAAGAGTTTGCAAATGGCAACGCCTGAGGGATGCAGGAGTAGGGCCGCTCATGACAAGACCCACAGCCACCCCCGCGTGAGTGCGGTTAGGGCAGGGAGTTTGTGAGAGGGTCAACGGCGTGTTGACGCCTGCGTCCCTACCTGCAGTCCCCAGCCAGGGGCAAGGTAGTACAACATTTTGCATAAGTGGCTGGGTGCGCGGGGCTCTCCTCGGGCACCATGCATTGTTGCCCCACCGGTGGCGGGATTGGATCAGTCAGACTTGTGCCGCGTATCGCAGCCACCATGCACGACATGCGACATGTTATGACGTCAATGAAGCATGTTTCCTGGGCCTCGCCGGCGTAGCGGAATAGCGGGGTGCATAATCTGAGGGGAGCGGACACCTCGTGACACCTGGACGCTGGCATGATGCGTGTAAGCAGCTCTCTGCAGCGAACTGAGCGTCTGGCTGCGGCTGCGGCGGGGCAGCCGCTCACGCTGCGCGCCAGGGACAGATGCGCACGCGGGCGATGCACGCCGCCCCCAGCACCCTCCCAAGCTCGCCTGCGGCCGGCGTCCGTGACGGTGGCCGCATCGGCCGCCGCCGCCCCCGGCCCGGCGCCGGGCAGCAGCCGCCGTGGCGCATGGCTATCGGGGCGCGCGGCGTGGACCGCCGTTGGCGTCGCATGTATCCTCGGAAGCGTGCTCGGCGCCGCGGCGGCCCTCTTCGGCGGCGTGCGGCCTGCGTGGGCGCTGCTGCTGCCACTCGTGCTGCCGGTCGTGTCCCTGGTGGCGGCGCTGCGGCGAGACGGGCTCGCGGGCGAGGTGAGAGGACCGTGCCGCTGATGACGGTGGCGTGTGCGTGGTGTGCGTGTTGGTGTGGCTGTGCAAGCTGCGATCGCTCCGCACCCAGCTGCATAGGCCCGGCAGGTTCATCAGCCTTGATTTGATGATTATCAATGTATCTTCTTTCCAGAATGTTTGAGCAGCGCTGTCGTGCCAGAGACGGCGATTGGCGCCGCCTGGCAAAGACCAAAGCAGTGAAACGAGGGTAAAGACCATGGACCCAACGACGCTGCGTGTCTTCCTGCCACCGTAGCACTCAAGCCTGGCCCTTGAACGAGCCACCTGCTTGTCCCAACCCCTCTGGCTGGGGTCTCCTTCCCTCTCATGCGTACATGCGCAGGACCGCTCCCGGCCGGGCCAGGGGCAGGGCCAGGCAGATGCGGCGGCGCTGCTGGTAGAGGCGCGCGCCGCGTTTGAGGAGCTGCGGCGGGAGCTGGAGACGGCGCGTGCGGCTGGGGGCAAGCGGGGCGGCGCTGTCCACAGCCTCGGCGGCAGCCAGGCGCCGTCACCACAGCAGCAGCATAAGTCAGAGCAGATATTGGAGCAGCAGCAGCTAGAGGAGCAGCAGCAGCTAGAGGAGCAGCAGCAGCAACAACAGCAGCAGCAGGTGCAGCACGCGCAGCATCACCAGCAGCAGCACCAAAGGGCAGCAACACCTGTGCCCGCCAGCGCACATACAGTGCCAGCCTTGCACTCTGCGGAGCACGCTGCTGCGCGGACGGGACAGCCATCGGTCGCGGCCGCCGCAGCAGCAGTCGCAGCGGCCGCCGCGGCCGCCCGCAGCAGCAGCGGTGCGGCTCCTTGGCACAGACCCAAGGCGCGGCACAGGGATGACCAGCACCGCACCGTCATCCTGGACGGCACGCCGGGTTGCGTAATCCCTGGTGACGATGACGAGGACGACCCAGCCTCGGCGGGCGACCCCGTGCCGCAGGCGGACGCTGGGGGCCCTGTCCTGGGGCTTGCAACGGACGTAGATAGGGAGCGGGGCCGCTTCTACCGCCGCACGGTGGGTCTTGTTTGGCCCGCCATGTGTCACGCATTTGCAGCTGGGCGTCACAAAGGGTCGCAGACACAGCCCTGAGTGTGTGCAGGGTTGCAGTGTTTGCAGGGTTGCAGTGTTAATTGTGCGTTTGCGGGGGGGGGCCGCCCTCAGCCTATGCGGGCGGCCGGCCGCCTGCCCGCATGCGTGTTACGAGACGGGTGGCCAGGTGTGGGACAGATTTCCTGATTCAATATGATTGCTGGTGTGGTCTTCAATTGGTGCGCATGAGCAGACGCAGCACTAGTGCAGGCGTGCAGCAGAAGTGAAGAAAGGAACGTGTCTGCACACAGTCGCCGATGCTCATCATCTACACATAGATACACACAGGCACACACCTCTCCAGTCACTCAAGACACATACACACACATGCGTGCTCATTTGCGCACACAAGTACACACACCAACTTCCCACATTGGCATCGCCATTCGCACCAGGTCTTCTTCAAGGGCGACTGGAAGCGCTACCGCAGTGTCACACGCTACGCCCGCCACATGCAGGGTGCGCGCCCATCAAAAGCGACCAGAACCCCAGGGGGACTACACCGCTGCACGCCCAGGTTCCAACCCGTGTGCTGGCGACGACTCCTTGCGCTTGTCGCGATGCGCCATGCTGTCTCCGCTCCTGCCCCTCACCCGCACCCGCCCCGCCCGCCCGTCCCAGGCATCCTGAACAGCCGCATCGTCCGGGGCCTGCTGCCGCCGCTGTCGTGCGTGCTGCTGATGTCAACAGCGGTCTGCTCCTACGAGGCTCTGCTCACAAGCGGCTCCCTGCACCGCCTCGCGCCGGGCTTCTCCTGGCCCAACCTGGCCGGTGAGCGACGTCATTGCTTGATCTGAACTGATCTGGATTTGTTTTGCCACGGGCGTGACGTATGGGTCTGGCACCTCAAGCTTGCTCAGCGCGTGGCCTGCGCAGAAGCCTTGATCGACGCCGTCGCCGTGCTGTGCTTCGCCAAGCAAACACTCAGGGCCGCACCACGCTCTGCGCCGTCAATCCATGAGGATCGACGCTGTCCGCTGCCCCTCCGCGCCTGCCCCCCCGCCCCCCCCC